GATCATAAAGTCCTCACAAAATGAAGACGAAATCTCTGGGTAGTGTCTTATCTACAAACCCATATGCCTTTCAAAATTTACCTCAGAACTGATTTCGTTAAAACTCGAAGAAAAGCTTGCAACAGTGTCGGGCGGAGGCCAGGGCCGAATTTTTGGAGCCCACATAAACACATTTGATGATAAAAAATGAGCACCTCAATTAGAAGAATTTCATATATTTTGATGTAGGATTGGGGTTTAAATACTCCTAATCTATTGTAGAAGTATCTTCACCGAAGGTTGATCCATAATCAAACTCCTTTGATTATGGTCAACCAAGATTTGATTATAACCCTTAAATGATCATAAAGCCTAACATGAGAACCCAAACCAAATTAAAAAGACCTACTTTTGACCATAATTTGTCCATGATTGACCCTGATGAAACTTTTTGACCAGAGTCAACATTTGCATAGTCAAAATATTAAAAACACTCATAATCTTTACCTTTGGGTCATCCAAAGTGACATTGGACTTGAGCCAAATTGACCCAAAATCCTTTAAGGTTCAACTTCACTCAACCAAACCCATGGTCAACTCTTATTGACCATGGTTTTACCTAAAATCCTAAAATATCAAAATACCCCAAAGGCTCCAATCCAAGGTCTCTTAGCCTAAATCCTTTAATTGGTCAAATTGCTGTGAGTGATTCTCTATATGTTAGAAAGAAAATTCTAGTTGGACTTGACCAAATTTGACTACTCTAAGATGATCAATTTATTAAAATAGTGCAATGTATCTCTTTCAGACCCAAATAAAAATATACTTTTCAAAGTGGACAAGCTTAATTAATTGGTCAAATCAAATCAAATTCATGAGATTATAGCTAGGAAAGTTAGAAACACAAATCTAATATGATCCAACCCATTTAACCAACCTATTACGTCAATCTGAGCAAATGGATCAACTTACCTAAATAGGATATAATTAGGTTTAATATAATTTAAGACTAGCCAAATAGCAAAACCAATTGAATTAAACTTATATTTAGAAACTAATTAACTTTAGTAAATATCTTAATTAATTTTACAAAAGATAAATTTTTTAACCCACTGTTGTTGCCAGGTCTCAAGTCCTACATGAGAAAAATATAAGGATGTGTTAGGTAGTCGACAATCAGCGTAAAATTTGTCGAATAATCATGACATGAATCCTTTAATATATTATGTTAATGTTAGGGTGTTTCCTGGAAGCGACGCGTTGTATGGCTTGAATATAGCGACAAATAAGCAAGGGCCACTACACCGAAGCCCATGTGCAGTGTTAAATAAGAAAGGGTTCCTACATCATTGACGGATGTGGGCAAATAAACTAGTCCATGAAACTAAAATTTGAATAGGATCTTGAAATGTAGGTTCTCTTATAGGCATTAATAGAATTAATTGATATTATAATCCAAAGGAAGATAAATATTTTATGCATTCAAGAAACTAAATGGTTTGAGAGAAGCCTAAGGAGATTGATAGTTTAGGTTTTAAACCTTGGTATTCTGGTAGAAGTCATACTAGAAATGATGTATGCGTAATTATAAATAAGGGTTTAAAGGATAATGTTATAAAAATTGATAGAAGTGAAGATATAATTATTGTTCTGAAGATTATTGTTGATGCTAAGATTATTTATATTATAGGTGCTTATACTACTCAAGCAAGTTTGGATATGTGTTTAAAATTAAGATTTTGGAATGGCTTAGAAGAATTAATTCAAAAGATACCTCAACAACAACAACAACAACATCAAGCCTTTATCCCACTACGTGGGGTCGGCAACATGAATCTTTTTTCTCCATTGTGTCCTATTAAAGGTCAAATTCTCATTTAAATCTAATAAAGAAATGTCATTCCTAATATTTTATAACCAAGTCTTTTTAGGTCTGCCTCTACCTTTCGTAATATAAGTCAAATCTAATACCTCTACTCTCCTAACCGGATCATTAGAAGTCCGCTGTTTTATGTGACCAAACCATCTAAGGTGACTCTCTAATCTTATCTTCTACTGGAGCTACTCCAACCTTTTCATGTATATGCTCATTTTGTATCTTATCTCTAAGGGTAAAACCAATCATCCACATGAGCATCCTCATCTCTGCCATGCTTAACTTAGTATTATGCTTCTATTTTAATGGCCAACATTCAGCACCATAAAGCATTACAGGCCTCACTGCCATCTTATAGAATTTTCCCTTAAGTTTGAGGGGTATTTTTTTATCACACAACAAATCCGATGCATTCCTCCGATTCAACCATCCAACTTGAATTCTGCTAATAATATTACCAGATATTTCACCATCACTCTGAATAATAGATCCAAGATATCTAAAACGTGTACTCTTATTAATGACTTGATCGTCCAAAGCCACAATCCCCTCACTTGATCTACCACTACTAAAATTACATTATATATATTCCGTTTTAGATCTACTCAAGTGAAAATCTTTAGTCTCTAATGTTGACCTCCATAATTCAAGTTTACTTTCAACTCCCTCTCTAGATTTTAGCTTTTAATAATTTATATAATATATTAGACTCTAAAGAGGACGAAAGATATATATATATAAGTTAGTCAAATAAAAAGATGGAAGTAGTAAGGATTTAGTTCAAGTGAAGTGTATTAAGAATGAAGATCAAAAAATATTTTTTTAAGAGAATATTTAACAAAGGTGGATGAAATATTTTGCTAAGTTATTCAATGAAGATTGCAAGAATATAATTGACTTTAGTGACCTTAGCACTCTAAATGAAAATAGAGATTTTTATTTTGATTGGCATATTAGTAAAACTAAAGTTAGAGAGGCTTTAAAGAAAATGAAGTGTGGAAAAACTAGTGTACATTATAATATTCCAATAAAAGTGTGAGTTGAATGAATTTCTTGGATTACTAGATTTTTTAATATTATTTTGAAGACTAAAAAATGTCAGATGAGTGGAGAATGAGTGTATTGATTCTTATTTTTAAGAATAAAGGAGATGCATAAAATTGTGCGAATTATAGAGAAATTAAGTTGATGTGACATACTTTAAACATTGGGAGAGAGTTATGGAGCATAGGTTATGACGTGATGTTAATGTTTCTTAAAATCAATTTGGATTCATGTCGGGTAGGTCTACTATGGAAGCTATTCATTTATTGAGAGGGTTGCTGGAGAAGTTTAAAGAGAATAAGGAGGATCTACATATGATTTTTATTGATTTAGAGAAAGCATATGATAAAGTTCCAAGAGAAGTGCTATGGAGAGTTTGAGAAAAGAAAGAAAGAGGTTAATAATGCTTATATTCAATTCATTAGGGATATATATGCAGGAGTTGTTACTTGTGTTCAAACATAAGGTGGTTTGACCAAGTATTTTCCTATTTCAATTGGATTACATCAAGGATCAACCTTAAGCCGTTACTTTTTCTTTAGTTATGGATATTCTCACTAGGCATTCGCAAGAGGATGTACCTTGGTGTATGCTTATTGCTCATGATATTCTTCTTGTTGATAAGACTAGAGATGAAGTTGTAGGTAAACTCGAATTATGAAGCTCAACCATAGAGTTTAAAGATTTTCATTTGAGTAGACCTACTACAGGAAAAACACTGATTTCCAACCGAAATAAATTCGTAAAAAAAACTCAGCTTTTAAATATAGTAATTATTTTAAATAAAATATAAATTAAACTAAACCAACTCAGCTTTTATAAATTAATTTGATTATTTTAATTTTTCTTAAATAAAATATAAACTCAGCTTTTAAATATTATGTCTTTTATAATATAAATAGAAAACAACTCATCATTTAATACTTTTTTTGTGGTGGCAAGATGGTCTTGCGGGCAGCGGGAGGGCTAAAGGGCGGGGTTCAAACCCTGCTAGACGCAGACATGGCGGGCAGGTCACGCAAGGCGGGCAGCGAGTTACGGATGAGCCAGGGCATAGGAGGGTGAGCCAAGGCGAATCGGCGGGCAGCGGGTCATTGGCCCCGTAGGGCTATTGGGGGGCAAGGTCACGGGTGAGCCCAGCTGGGCTAGACGAGGGCTTCAATGGGCTGATGGTTTTTTAATTTTTTTTTTTTCAAAGGATATCACAACAACAACAACAGCATCAAGCCTTTATCCCACTATATGGGGTCGGCAACATAAATCCTTTTTCTCCATTGTGTCTTATTAAAAGTCAAATTCTCGTTTAAATCTAACAAAGAAAGATCGTTCCTAATATTTTCTAACCAAATCTTTTTAGGTCTGCCTCTATCTTTCTTAATATAAGTCAAATCTAATATCTCTACTCTCCTAACCGGGTCATCGGAAGGCCGCCGTTTTATGTGACCAAACCATCTAAGGCGACTCTCTCTAATCTTATCTTATACTGGAGCTACTCCAACCTTTTCACGTATATGCTCATTTCGTATCTTATCTCTAAGGGTAAAGCCACTCATCCACCTGAGCATCCTCATCTCTACCACACTTAACTTAGTATTATGCTTCTCTTTTAATGGCCAACATTTGGCACCATAAAGCATTGCAGGCCTCACCACCATCTTATAGAATTTTTCCTTAAGTTTGAGGGGTACTTTTCTATCACACAACAAGCCCGATGCATTCCTCCACTTCAACCATCCAACTTGAATTCTGCTAATAATATCCTCATCTATTTCACCATCACTCTGAACAATAGATTCAAGATATCTAAATCGTGTACTCTTATTAATGACTTGATCGCCCCAAAGTCACAATCCCCTCACTAGGTCTATTACTACTAAAATTACACTCCATATATTCCGTTTTAAATCTACTCATGCGAAAACCTTTAGACTCTAAAATTGACCTCCATAATTCAAGTTTACCTTCATCTCCCTCTCTAGTCCTATCAACAAGAAGAATATCATCAGCAAAAAGCATACACCAAGGTACATCCTCTTGCTAATGTCTAGTGAGAAAAACAATATTAACAAAAAAATGAAAAATGGATAAGAAAAGATAGTACCTTCAACCTTCCCAAAGGATCTCCATCTAGAATATCAGTGCCAGCATTGTAAACCACCAACTCGGGATTAAATTGATTTCTTGCAATCTATAGTCCAAGCACAAAATACATTATGTGGGAATGAAGAACCATGCAACAATTTAAGATTTAGACTATAAAAAAGAAATTATAGTGTAACAAATTTGACCAAATCTCAATCACGCATGCAAAAATCAATTATAAATAAAAAATAAAAAATAAAAAACCAATTATAAAATTAATAGATAAAAAGTACAAAAAGCTACTCAAAATTTAAGTAACATGCCAGTAAAAGACGTTCCAAGAATTCACAGTCAACAGTGCGCAAATTTGAGAGGATTTGAATTTTAATAAGACTGGGTTTTAAAAGCCTAGAGACCCTTCATTCATAATTGAAAATAAACTTATGTTTATTAGTTTCACAAAAACTAAGAATCAAGATAAACGCAAGACTACAGTCTCAAAAACCCATTTCCAGCAATAGTTTCAGGTCTATCTACCGCGATCTCCACCACACGCTAAACACGAAGTATAAGATTCCCATATTCTGAGATAACAAACAAGGCAATATAAACTACGAAACCCAGCCGAATAAGGAAATTACACAGACGGTCATACACATGACAGAGACCGTTAGATTGGTCCAGCCGGTCGGGACCGGCTTACACGAAACAGGAGGACTTTACGCCTCTGGTATGCAGGAGCCGACCGCCCAGTTCGGAGGGAGCTTTTTGGGAAAGATTTTTTAGCGATTTGAGAGGAAAATTTGAGTGTAGGGAATGTTTAGAGATTTCCTTTTGAATTATATGCATTAAATAGTTTGTTTTCCTAGGATCAGGCATCTTGAATTTGGCTTAAATTTGCGATCTCTTAGATTTAGGTTTTCTATTGGGCTCTATAGGCGTCTAGAGATTTGGGAGAGATCGATCCTCCTCTCGAATAGAAGATCAATTGTATCTTGCTATTTTTCTTCTTCTATTAGTGAATTTCAAGTGTTTTTCCTCAGATTTTTCAATAGAATTTTTGTTTTTGCTGTTTTCCATTGGAGTTGTGAACTGTTTTTATCAATAGTGTTAGATTTTACTTGAAATCTCCAAGTACTTCAATATCAGAGACCTCTGCCAAAAGAAGCCACAAGACTTCCAGAATCTAACGTTGCAGTGCAGTAATCGGGAATAGAAGGAAATAAAGAAATTATCGATTATTAGCAAAGCGCAAACCAGCAACAGCACCAGCAGCGGGAATGGCTCCTCAAACATTGAATCTGCTACTTCAGCTAGGATGCCACAGAAGGAAACACAGCAACAGTAAACCCAGCCAAACTAACTCAAAATCAACATCGAGGAACATTGATTGGACACGACCATCAAACAAACGAGAAGCCATTCTCTATAGGGAACAATCATAGACATATTTCCAAAGAACTACAACAAAAAAACAACGAAATAAAACAACTAAATCAAAATTAACAAGTGATTGGTCTATCTGATTTGTATAGACTTTCAGATTCGCATTATTTTACCAGGTTTTTAAGAAAAAAATATATCATTAATCAAGGCTTGCAATGCTTCTGTAAAGGAATCGAAGAATCATTAAAAGTAGATTTATCATAACAATGCACAAGTACCTCAAGTATGCACCATTCAGAGTAATTTCAAGAACAAAATGAATATATTTTTTTGGTAAAATGTTGGCTACTAATTTAACAAGAAGGAATGTAAAGGGAAAAGAATTCAAGGTATTGGTAACAGGTTCATAAAAGATAGTAAGAGTAGACATATTGAAGAGCGGAATTATGCCAGAGCGTTATTGAAATTCCAATTCATAATTCATAAGGTTATGTTTGTCTAGCAATAAGTTTCTTAGAAATTCTTATAGGAAACCTTTCAAGATTCAAGCATACCATTACATTATCAAATAGTTTAAATTCCATATATATCATGTTCACATCTGCAGTGAATTTACATGCCCGGAGACTTCTAATTTATAATCAAAATTAAACCAATATTTCATAGAATTACAAAATCTAAGAGTCAAAATAAAAATTGGAAAATTTATAATATTAAAAGATCGATTCCATCAATGAATGCATGTATATTTAAAGTGAGATGCCTCAGTGTCTGCTTCCTGTTTTCACATAAGGGCAATTATAATTGGTAGGGCATCTATTGAAATAAATGGAAAGTGTAACAATAAAAAAAAAGGAGATATGGGTTTAAGATTACTAGAACAACAATAATATTACGTGAAGATAAAGGGTCCAGATAGCTCGAGTTGCATTTAAAGACAATTGTGAAATTGCTAAAAAAGAATCTACTATCTAAAGTTGTTATGGATGAAACAGTTTTTGTTCATGCTATTTGAAAAATCCAGTTGTCCTACACTCCTACTACTGTGTTTTTGCATATGGCCAAATGACCCATGTGCCCTTATTCATATTTCAGAACTTGGATAATAATTTTTAATTGACAAAAAAAGCCAAATGAAATATTCATAAGTTTTGAATATACTTCAAGGTTATCATCATCTATGGTTTCTTGCTATAGCTCGTTATAGCCGATTGTGACCTTGAATGAAACCTGAATCGGGATTCACAAGAAACATTATGGATGTTCCTCGATGCACAAAGGTTTTCTCCTTTGAACTAGTTATGTGCTTGCCCTGTACATAGGTTGCCTATAAAGCACAAGCACATAGTAAAACGTGCATGTCACACTGCTTTGACACATCACATCGTAGTGTTATATGGTTGACTCTTGTTGAGAGCGAAATTATAATTAATAATTCATGGTTCATTTCAACATCTGTCACGCTAACTCGGCAGAGGCATTTGCATCTTCTCACTATTTCTCAGTCATTGAGTCGTTGTCATTGGTGCGAGATTAATAGCAATGCTTTTTTACATCAACAACATCATCACGGCTATCTATGCAATCATTTCAGTCATTATTGTGTTTGGCTGCAAGATCTCTTTATATTTTTCCTTCATTTGGCACTTCATAGACCTCTATGATTGTGCCAACGTGATGGTATTAGTTAGTAGTTGGCCTTCTTCATGTTCCTCTTATTCATCCCCTGCAAAAGACTTTGTGCATTCAGTATGATCATATTGTGCTCATTCTTCTTGAGAGATTGTGGCTCCAACAATAGTAGATCTTGCTTCATGGTGTTGCTTGGCTCATTCTTATGCCCCACCATGTAGACTACTTCGACCTCTACGGTTTCATCATCATCTTCTTCTACTTATTATATCCAGATTTTCAAGCGGCGTATCCACTAGATTTTTGGCTCTGTATCTAAAATGAAAGGCTCCTCAATCGGAGAGCTAAGGTTAAAATTGGCCTCTTCCTGAGAGTGGAGTTGTAAGGCGATGGGATCTCCTAAAAAATTCTCTAGGGTGTCGACCATCATATATGATATCATATGGGACCTTCTTTTTCAACACCCATTGTTGATGGATTTTTCATAGGCGGATCGCTAGGAGTACACGCCATATATCATGCCTTTATTCTTCTTCATATATTTTTCTTTTAGAGACTCTAGTCTCCATACTTCATTTTCCTTCCACCAGGACCTTTCAGCGGCGGATTCTTGGACATGAGGTCCAAGTGTCAAGCCCCAATGTTCAATCTACGGAGCTTGTCTCCCTTCTTTTTCTGCTACCACGACAGATGATAACCTACACGTGGGGTTTAGTCCCTATTACAAGCAGCTTTTGATATTTTATTCTTCATTAGCCCTCTCTCAATAAAAACTTTAAGGACTTTATGAACCTTGGTGGATAGAATTTCGGGCTCCTTCAGAAGGATTAGGGCCTAGCGTTATTGAGCCCAAAATGACTGTTTCAACTCAATGATAGAGTTGTCCCTTTTCACATATTTTAAGTTTGTAAATTTATTCCGAGTATGATTACTCACTTTTGTCTCTTGGGCTGGTTGTATAGAGAGGTGCACTGTTGTAATAATTGAGCCCACAATTCAGCATTCATCTTCCTCTGTCTCTTAGACAGCCCTCCTCCAAATGAAAAAGCCTCATGATCATTATTTCCAAGTGCCAACAATTCAACTGGAAGAGTAGCAGCATTTGTAGGTACCAAAAAGATTTTCTTCCCAAGGTCTCTAATTGGGATAGCCTTTGAAGACTGAGATCCTCTTTCGGGGAACCTCTTCAACAGTGGTAACTCTCTCAAATATTGAACTCACTGCATTGACAACTGTGTGCATCATGTCGAGGCTTCAATAGAATAAGGCCATTTGATAAGCCTTTGGGTAGTCATGTCATGAATAGGGATGATGACAGCCCCGGAAGTAACTACAGGTACTTCTAGCCTAGCAAATTGGATGGCCTCTCCTGAGTCTCTGATGTTGATGAGATCATTAGCCAACAAAATGTTGGCACCACATAATAGATGGGATTATGGAAGGAGTGTTCTAGAGATCTAATCTACACAAATAAAAGTTGAAAATTAGTAATCAGAATTTTACACATCACCTTACACTTTAAAAATGCATAAACTCGACAGAACAAAATAATACGAACAAATGTCTTATAAAATTGTAAGAGTTTGGAACCTTGCTTAAGGGAATTTAATGAGTTCATAGGTTATGTACGACTATTTAAAGATGAAAGAAAAAAATTCCCTAGCGATGTTGCCAAAAATATGTGGGCTTCGAAAATTTTGCACCCCAGCCTCTCCAAATGTTCGGAAACAGTATTAACAGATTAAGTTTTGAGTTAAAATTTGAGAAAGCAAATTGGTCAGAGATAAGACACTACCCAGGAATTTTACCTTCATTTGTAAGGACATTAGGATCTGAGTTCAGGTTTCCCATACCTGGAAACTCCCATGGCTAATTATCCCTCTCAATGACAGGAAAACAATTTGGATCAAAGATAATCATTAAATAGGTACTAAATACCTAGCATATAATAGTAGCAATTTTACTATTTATGCTTTAAAATTTACCAAATTACAGTTAAAGAGGATGGTGAATGAATGATGACAAACTCAATCAAAATCTCATAATTCTATCGTCCTGAGTTGTCATCGGCCCTAGTTTACTCGGTCAAAGGAGATAGTCGACCTACAATAACCAAAGGATCTTTGCCGGCAGCCATGAGTTGCTTCGTACAATGATACCTTATAGACTTGGGGTGAATATTTTCCTAAAAGACAAATTCAAGTCAACCTTTGATAACTTAAGATTTTGTTATATATTAAGTATAACATATGATTCATTATTCAAATGTATTAGCCATTAGGGAGCATACCAGCTTAGTTGTGATTGTAATATAGAGAAGTTTATCCATGGCAAAACCACTCAGTCAAAGAGCCTCGGTCATAACTATTTACTTGTGGAGCCATATAGGCCTAACCACTAATCCTATGGAGCTATTTTGAAACCAAAATACCAGTTAGAGGATATGTGCCATGTAAAACTCTCGATTGGAAATTCGTTATTTGTGAGCTAAAATTATTTCTGAATTCTTCGACCTCATCAAATGATTGCGAAAGATGGAAGAATTTTGCTTCAATTTTTATGTGATTATTTTTTTCTCTAAATATTTGAATTTTGATACACATTGAATTTTAAAATTGGAAATATTTTGATATCTAACCTTTCGATTAAGTGTTACTTTCAACACCGTCATCATCAAAATGACATTCAAGACATTTTCAAAAAATATATATTTTATTTGATTTTAAATGCATTTAAAAAAGATAAAGTTTCCTCCGACTTAGATTCACATTCAACATGACCATTATTGTGGATGACATTTAAGTCACTTTCGCTATGAGAATTCGATTATTAGAATTAATCCCTGGTTGAGATTTATCATCAACATAACTATCATAAGAGTGAAATTGAAGCCATTTAAAATTTATATTTATGTTTTATCAGGGTTTGGAGGCATTTAAAATGATAAAGTTTCCTCCATTTGAGATTCACTTCCAACACGGTCAACATTGAGAATTTAAATAATTCATAATTTTGTTATTTAAATCTCATCAACTTTGTTTGCCCCCTAACATAAAATTAGGTTTAAATATTGATCTTGTGAATTGTTTTATGAATGTAGAAATCAAAAGCTTGTATTTTTATGACGAATTTCTTTTTAAGATGCTTTAAACCCCTAATGTGAACACAAAACAAAATCTCGTTGGATTTTACCTTTGTACATTCACTTATTAATCCAAGTTATGTAAATTCTAGTCCTTTTAAGTAAGAATATTGGACTTGAAATCTAAATTCATGTTTAAACTGTAAAACCCGAAAACGTCGTTTTAGGCTTCGCACGCTTTTCAAAGCGTCGCGACGAGTTTTAAGTGAAAATTTCAATGTTGTCGGATTTTGACGGGAATAATTTTATAAAATTGAGCGTAAAATTCCGATCAATTTGGTATATAGGACTTGTATCAAATTTCGTTTAAATTAAGAGATATAATTTTTGGAAGTTCAAAAATACCCAAAGTACCCCCACTCCTTATTCTTGCATGGGTTACTTAAGTGAGGGCATAGGGGTCATTTAGCAAACTCTTTCCTCTCTATTAGGCCAAACCGAAACCCCTCTCCCTCATATTTTCGGCCAAACCGAGAGAGAGAGGAAGAGAGGCGACGGGAGAGGCGACGGGCAAGGACGGACGGCGGCTCCGGCGGCGGTTTCCGGCGGCCAAACTTA